ATAAAAAAAATTCACAAGCTCTGAGTCCCCCCACACACAGGGCACCACAGCAGTGAAGGATTGGCCACCCTGCAGCCCAGCAGAGCCAGGAGCCACCCTGGACAGGGAATTCTGAGGGAATTCTGAGCCATCACTGCCTGCCAGCAATGCAGCAACTCCCTGGCTGTGCCCTGGCGCGGCCCCTGAGGCAAGGTCAGCGCCCCAGGCCAGCCTTAAGCCGGGCTCCTGAGTCAGCAGAGGCAGGGCTGGGATCAGGGAAAGCCTCAGCTCAGCCCCACCGTCCCCTCCCGGCCCCAAAGCCACCCCAGGGGCACCCAGGGCAGGGATTGGGGTCAAGGGGACAGGGCAGGGTGGGGCTGGGCTGGCACCTGTCCTGCAGGGCTGGCACCTCCTGGCACAGCCAAGGCAGCTGCTGGGAATGCCCCCTGCCACAGGAGCAGGACGCTCCCCATGGGAATTCATTCTGTGCCCTGGACAGAAGCCAGCATGCAAAGCTCAAGGAAAGCCACCACTTATTATTATTGTGATTTGTAAAATGTATTTTTATATATTTATCATATAAATATATTTTATAGTATATTTATATTGTATATTACATTGTATATAATTATATATTATATTGTGTTATTATATATTATTATACTGTATTATATATTTTATATTATACTTATATATTATGTTATATTGTTATATGTATTATGTATTGTATTATTATACTGTATCATATATTATATTGTTATATGTACTATGTATTGTATTATTATCCTGTATTATATATTATATTGTTATATGTATTTTGTATTGTGTTGTATTATATTTATTTTCTAATTGTATATATTAAATTATTAAATATAAGTATATAATATAAATAGATTATTTCTTGTGTATTGTTATTATATTATGTATATGTATTATCTATATGAATAGTATGTTTTATGTATTATATTGTATATTGTGCACTATTATATATTATATTATTAAATATTTGTATTATATGTTTATTATTATTATTATTATTATTATTATTATTATTATTATTATTATTATTATTATTATTATATTGTTGTTGTTGTTGTTGTTGTTATTATTGTTATTGAATTTTTATTGTATTTTCATTGCTCAGCCTTTTGTGTAACTTTTCAAACTTCCCCACTGGTCCAAACCCCTGTGTGTCACTCTGTCCTTGTCACACATGGGTCTGACAGAACAATCCCCAGCCTCCCCCTCTGCCTGCCAGGGACCTGAGCTTCACCCAGGGAGAGAAGGGGGACATGAGGAGAGGAAAAGAGGAGGAGAAAGAGAAATTTCAACTTAGTTTAATAAACAAAGTTTTCCCAACTGGAGGGAGAGGCCTGAAAATCCCAACCCTCCCCATGGGCAGCACAGCCCTAAATCTCCCTGCAGCCTGAGCCTGGAAAAACAAATTAATCATCCTGCAATGTCCCCAGCAAAATGCCCATAAAATTTCATTAATGCTCATGACAGTTCATAAAAATGATCAGTAGGGCTGGCAACTCCAAAATAAGGTGGAAATAAGTATGAAGATGTTTTTGCTGTAAGCCTGCTTTGTCATTCAGCTCCCTGCAAGCTCATAAATAAAAAGCAGCTGGAATTACAGCACCCTGAGAGAGGGGGAGGAGAGGGATCCCTGAGAGGGGACCTGGCAGGAGATTTCTGCTCAGCAGGGACAGGGATGTGGGGCTGGCACAGCTGCTGGGGCTCAGGGCTCCTCCAACACCCCAAATTCCCCCCTCACCAAGTGCAGCTGATGAATATTAAAATAATATTAAAATAACATTAAAATAATGCAATGTGTGGAATAAAATAAAGGGAAAATGGAAAATAAAATAAGCAGCTTTGATTGGTGCTGGGCAGGAGGGGAGGGAGGATCCACAGGAATCCCTCACAGCACCCAGGACGCTCCAAACCATCCCAACCCCACGGGGCTGTGAGCACAGCAAATCTCCAGCCCCAGCCCTGCAAGCCTGGACCCAACAGCAGCAGGTTGGTTCTTTCTTGTGGATTGGCTCTTTCTTTGAGGATTATGTGAGCTGAAAGGCATCAGGAATTCTTCCCAAGGCTGTCTGTGGCCTTCAGATCTCAGTTTATCCCAAATCCTTTAGGATACCCTACAAAAATTCCATTACTCCCTCCCATGTACCAAAGATTTCAGCACACTGGGGATAAACATGGCCAGAATTACTCTTAATAAAATTTTCCCTTTTCTTGTAGGAATCTACAGCTTTTCCCACCTTTATCTGAAATGCAATTTTAGCTTTAAATGCAAGTTAGGACTGGTTTATTTATCAGCTCCCATTCCCCTTTAGCACCTGAATCTCTGCTAGTCCATAAATGCTCCCCCTTCCCTACCCCATCCCTGCAGCCAGATAAATCTGCCTGGGAATGAGTGTGAGAGCACAAAGTGCTGCTAATGAAATGATGAGGACATCATTAGCTCACATTAAGTCATACTTTTCAGCACTCCAAGTTTTCCCCTTGTTTGGCCTTATCATCCCTGTAGGAAAGGGAAAAGCCACTCAGGTACCTCTGCTGTGCCTGATTGCCAAAATCCCAGGGTGGGGATTGAAGAATTCCCCTGAGCAGCCACTGCCCAAACCCAGGGCAGGAAGGAGCTGGATGGGCTGAATTCAGCCTGATGTTAAATGCTAAATTCATGCCTGATGTTATTTAGGATATTTATTTAATAGGATAGTTAAAGTCCTTTTCCTGCCATGGCTGACACATCTGTGGTGTCTCACTGGGGACTTCTGAGGTCTTCCACAGAGTCAAGAATGAAATTGTCCCCAGAGCTGTGGGAACAGCTCTGCAGAGCTGGGATCTTCTCTCCCCTGACTTCATCTGATGGGCAAAACTGAACTTGTTCATCTTTCCCAGCTGGGAGCAGCCAGGGAGTGCCAGAGGGGCCAGCAGGTCCCTGTGTGGGACCCTGCTCCTGTGCCCTGCCTGGCCCCAGGGCTCAGCCTCCAGCTGCTGAGAACTGCCCCTGACCTTTCAGTCCCCCTCTCAGGTCTCAGAGATTAGAAAGGAAAAGCTGACAAAAAAAAATAATAAATGACAGCAGGCAGCCCCAGAGGGATGCTGTGTCAGTGCTGGGAGGGCAGGGCACAGCATCAGCGCTGTGCCACTGATAACTGTGTCACCCGTGTCACCCGTGTCACCTGTGTGCCCCAGCAGAGCTCTGCTGAGTCAGGAGCAGCCTTGACACCTCCACCAGCAGCTGCTTTTCAATCCTGCCCTGCTCTCCTTGCCAAAGCACGCAGCTAAATCACTGCAGTTCCCATTTTCTTTGCTTCTCCCATCTCCTTTCCCAGGTGTTTTTCACCTCCTCCTTCCCCCCAGCCTGATTTATGTCCCTTTTCCTCCTGCCTGCCCTGTTCCACTCCCCTTTGGCAGCTGCACACCCAGCAGGGCAGGTCTCTGGTAACACCTGAGCCTCCCTGCCAGCCCTGCTGGAACTGAAATCTGCTTTACAGGGCTGGGAGCTGCCAACCTGGGCTGCTCAAACACAGAAAACCCCAAATCCTTCCTCTGCCACACAGCATAACCAGGTTTGTTCCCTTTTCTATGGGCAGCTTTTGACAGCTGGACTCCTCAGGAAAAGCAAAACTTCTGTTCCCAGGGGAATTGCTGAGGTTTCTCCCAGGACAGAGCTAAACTGAAGGAAATGGTCAAGCTGAGGAAGACCAGGAAATGCATTTGACATAAAAATCAGAGCATTATTTTATTCCATGCATTGCAAGCTCAGAATAATTTTTTTAAGACAGGGATTCTAATTTCCAAAGGTGTTGGCACCCTCAGCTGCCATTGTGCAGAATCATTGCTCACAGGGCCATTAATTAAGGCACTGTCAGCACTTCCATCCCAAACCTCTGCCTTTTAGGAGTTTATAACAGCCATAAAATTCTGCTCTGGGCTGAAATTTAGCATGGAAGGAATCCATCCCTTTGTATTTGAGAGTCCCAGCAGCTTGGAGCCGCCAGCCAGGGCTTGCACTCTGAGGGCTGCCTTTCAAAAATCTGTTTTTATGGGTGCTGAGCTGCTGCACTGGCTCCTTGTGCTCACTGTGGGATGGGGCTTGTGCTCTTCACGCTGGAAAATTTGGGAATTGTGGGGGTTTGTGGTTCAGAGGCACAGCCTGAAACACCAGTTAAATACCAGAGAATTGCTCTGCCCTCACTGCTCCCTGCTGGAGGATGAGTCCACGTGGATTTCCCACCTTCATTCCCATGGCCAAGGCTGAATCCCTCTCCAGTTAAAGACACGGACACTGCTCCATCAGCGGCAATAATTTCCCTTTTTTCCATCCCTAACTGAACAGGCTCACACAGAACATCAAAAATTCCCTTTCAGCAAAACTCCAGTTTCCCCAGGGAGCAGATCCTGATTTGCCCAGCACCCAGGAGTGGAGGGAGCATCCCCAGACCCTCCTCCTGCTGTTTTCTCCTCCCTGAGAAGTTTCCCAGCTGCTCAGATTTATTGTTCTCATTCCACAGACCAAGCAGTTTTCTACAACTCAAGGGCTGCATCCTGATCTGGAAATGCAGAATAAAAGAGACCTTTCAAAATGCCAGGTTTTAGTGCAAATTTCTGGGTTTTTAAAGGATGAGAAGAGTTTGTGACTGCTGGCAGCACATGAAGATAATGCACCATGCCCAGAACATCAGGGGTCACAGAGGAATATTCAGTTTGCAACTGGAGAGCTCCAATTCATGAATTTCCACCTTCTTGGGGCCAGAGGAAGCACAGCAAAATTGGGCTTTCTTTAGAAATCTCATCAATTCTCTCTTCCAATGTAAAAGGGACCGTTTGACCCAAAATAACAACGAAATAGAGGGTGTGTGGGAAGGGGAGGGTGAGGAACAAAGGGAGGGAGAAATAAACCCCAGAAGTGCCAGAAATGTTCATTTACATCCATCAGCACCCAGGAACAAACGAGAAACTCTCAGCCCCCCACACAGAGAGGTGCCCCAAACCGGTACCTGCAAGAGCTCTCTCGGAAGGAGATGTTCAGATCCCAGTGGGTGTGAACCCTGCAACAAACAAACAAACAAAGCAAAACCAGGGCTCAGAGGTGAGGGCTGAGCACTCCTGTCCTGCCCCTGAACCTGCTCCACCCGGGGGACCCCCAGAGCCCCTCAGCCTCAATTCCTGCCCTGTCCAGCCCCAATTCCTGCCCCAATTCCAGACCCAATTCCAGACCCAATTCCAGACCCAATTCCAGACCCAATTCCAGACCCAATTTCTGCCCCAATTCCTGCCCTGTCCAGCCCCAATTCCAGACCCAATTCCTGCCCCAGTTCCAGACCCAATTCCTGCCCTGTCCAGCCCCAATTCCAGACCCAATTCCTGCCCCAATTCCTGCCCTGTCCAGCCCCAATTCCAGACCCAATTCCTGCCCCAATTCCTGCCCTGTCCAGCCCCAATTCCAGACCCAATTCCTGCCCCAATTCCAGCCCCTCAGCCCCAATTCCTGCCCCAATTCCAGACCCAATTCCTGCCTTGTCCAGACCCAATTCCAGACCCAATTCCTGCCCCAATTCCAGACCCAATTCCTGCCTTGTCCAGCCCCAATTCCTGCCCTGTCCAGCCCCAATTCCTGCCCCAATTCCAGACCCAATTCCTGCCCCAATTCCTGCCCTGTCCAGCCCCAATTCCAGACCCAGTTCCTGCCTTGTCCAGCCCCATCCCAGTTTAACCCAGGTTTGCTGAGGCCTGGCCCAGTTCCCCATCCCAGTTTAACCCAGGCCTGGCCCAGTTCCCCATCCCAGTTTAACCCAGGCCTGGCCCAGTTCCCCATCCCAGTTTAACCCAGTTCTGCTCTCAGTGGGGGCCAGCAAAGCCCCCCCAGCCCGGGGGGAGGACACAGCAGGTGAATTAAGGCAGGAGCAGATGGGGCACAGCCCCTGCAGGGCCCAGCTGTCGTGTCTGGGCTCTGGAGCCTTTGTGCTGCTCCTGCTGTCCCCAGGGCCACCCCCAGAGCCACTCCAGGGGTCAGAGGCTGCTCCTGAAGTCCCCAGAGCCATCCCAGGCCAGCAGGAGGGGGTGACACTGCTCCTGATGTCCCCAGAGCCACCCCAGCCTGGCCCTGCTGTCAGTGCCACCACCCCCAGGGCTGGCAGGACAGGGTCAGGCTGCTCCTGCTGTCCCCAGGGCCACCCAGAGGTCAGAGGCTGCTCCTGATGTCCCCAGAGTCACCCAGGGCCATCAGGAGGAGGTGACACTGCTCCTGCTGTCCCCAGGGCCACCCTGGCCACCCCAGGCCACCAGGAGGGGTCACTGGTCCCCACTGCAGGCCCTGGAGCAGCTGAGGAGTGCAGTCTCCCCCCATTGGGACAGAGACCCCTGGGCTCCCCTTTATGAGGGATGAACGCTCAGGGATGCTGGGGCTGGCAGCAGGAGAGGCTCCCTGGGCACTGAGCACTGAATTCCTGGCTTTCCCCCCTGTTCCTGCCCTCACAGGGATTCCACCTGCCCCACCTGCCCCCTCACTGCAGCACAGCTCCCAGGAAAGGGAAAGAACAAATGCACAAAAGCAGGGAAAGGAAAAGAGCAAGGGCACAAAATCAGGGAAAGGAAAAGAACAGGGGTAAAAAAATCAGGGAAAGGAAAAGAACAGGGGTAAAAAAATCAGGGAAAGGAAAAGAACAGGGGTACAAAATCAGGGAAAGGAAAAGAACAAGGGCACAAAATCAGAAAAAAGGAAAAGAGCAAATGCACAAAATCAGGGAAAGGAAAAGAACAAGGGCACAAAATCAGAAAAAAGGAAAAGAGCAAATGCACAAAATCAGGGAAAGGAAAAGAACAAGGGCACAAAATCAGGGAGAGCTGAACGCAGCTGGGAGAATCCTGCTCCCTCCAAGGAAACAGAATTAACCAAGAGGCACAAAGTGCAGGAGAGCACAGCCCTGGCAGGCTGGGGATCACTGCCTGGGAGCTGCCACACATTCCTCCTTCATTTCCCAGCAAACCAGGCACAGCAATTACAGTAATTAAAGATTTAAGATAAGGGCACTTTGTGTTTGGGGGGCCCAGCATTATCAATTGCAGTTATCACGTTTTTCTGCCCCCTAATGAGACAATCCAGCACTAATTCTGCTGCATTAAAAGCACAATTAAAGGGGCAGGAGGGGCAGGGCAGCTCACCAGAGCTCGCTGGGAGGGTTCCCTGAGCAGCCCAGGTGCATCCCAAAACCCCTTTCCAAAAGCCCTTCCCATTTCCAGCAGCACCACTGGACAGCTGCAATGATAAAATTAATTACAGGAGGCTTCATGGGCTTTATGGGCTGCTCCTCTGCCTCCCTGCTCCTTCCCTCAGCTGCTGAGGGTGCCAGCATCTGTCTGAGCAAGGGGGAACAGCTCTGCACTGCCAGCCCAGGAGCACATAAACCACCAGAAAAGCAATTACAGCCTCAGCTCCCTCTGCTCTGCTCTTGTCTCAGGAGCTGGGCCCTGCTGTGCATCACGGGGAGCTGACAGCCCTTGGGGCTGTGCTCTCTGGGCTCACAGACCCCCTCAAATTCCTGCTTTTCCAGAGGCCTGGGAGCACCTGGAATTTTGGAGCTGAATACTGAGGGCACCAGGAGAGCCCAGGTGAGGGTCACCAGTCAAGGCCATCCCTCCTCCTCTTCCTCTAGGACTGCACAGCCCAGGAGGAATGGCCATGGCACCGAGAAGGACAGGGCCAAAATCCAGCAGCTCCTGCTCCCTGCTGCCATTCCACCAGTGCTGCCCTGCTCCTGGAGGCCCTCAGGGTGCTCTGACACTTGGAACCAGACATAAAACCCCACAGCACCTTGCAATCAAACACAGAACCCCACACCTTGCATTAAAACACAAAACCCCACATCTTACAATCTAACCCAGAACCCCACCTTGAATTAAAACACAGAACCCCACATCTTACAATTAAACACAGAACCCCACACCTTGCATTAGAACACAAACCCCCACCTTGAATTAAAACACAGAACCCCACACCTTGCAATCAAACCCAGAACCCCACACCTTGCTGCTCCCCAGACTCTGCTCCCCAGCACTGACCCCCCCTTCAGCCTCAATTCCATCCCAATTTGAGCACAGCTGAGAGCAGGGGGCAGCATTTGGGGTCCCCACAGCTCTGTATTTCACCCAGCTGGAGCCCACAGATGATTTCCTGGCCATGCACCTCCCAGAGGAACAGAGCCCCGGCCAGAGAGTGACACCCAACCTGCAGACCCAGAGTGCAAACTCCTCTCCAGGCAGGAGCAAGGGAAAAACCCCAGCAGTGCCCTCTGTGAGCTGGAATGTGCCCCTGGCAGTGAATTCCAGCCCTGGAGGTGCCCCTGGCACTGGATTCCAGCCCTGGAGGTGCCCCTGGCACTGGGATTCCAGCATTCCAGCCCTGGAGGTGCCCCTGACATTGGGATTCCAGCCCTGGAGGTGCCCCTGGCAGTGAATTCCAGCCCTGGAGGTGCCCCTGGCACTGGATTCCAGCATTCCAGCCCTGCAGGTGACCCCAGTGCCCCTGACATTGGGATTCCAGCCCTGGAGGTGCCCCTGGCAGTGAATTCCAGCCCTGGAGGTGCCCCTGGCAGTGAATTCCAGCCCTGGAGGTGCCCCTGGCAGTGGATTCCAGCATTCCAGCCCTGGAGGTGCCCCTGGCACTGGGATTCCAGCCCTGGAGGTGCCCCTGGCACTGGATTCCAGCATTCCAGCCCTGGAGGTGCCCCTGACATTGGGATTCCAGCATTCCAGCCCTGGAGGTGCCCCTGGCATTGGGATTCCAGCATTCCAGCCCTGGAGGTGACCCCAGTGCCCCTGACATTGGGATTCCAGCCCTGGAGGTGCCCCTGGCACTGGATTCCAGCATTCCAGCCCTGGAGGTGCCCCTGGCAGTGAATTCCAGCCCTGGAGGTGCCCCTGGCAGTGAATTCCAGCCCTGGAGGTGCCCCTGGCATTGGGATTCCAGCATTCCAGCCCTGGAGGTGCCCCTGGCATTGGGATTCCAGCATTCCAGCCCTGGAGGTGCCCCTGACATTGGGATTCCAGCCCTGGAGGTGCCCCTGGCACTGGGATTCCAGCCCTGGAGGTGCCCCTGGCACTGGGATTCCAGCCCTGGAGGTGCCCCTGGCACTGGATTCCAGCCCTGGAGGTGCCCCTGACATTGGGATTCCAGCCCTGGAGGTGCCCCTGGCACTGGATTCCAGCATTCCAGCCCTGGAGGTGCCCCTGGCACTGGATTCCAGCCCTGGAGGTGCCCCTGGCACTGGGATTCCAGCCCTGGAGGTGACCCCAGTGCCCCTGACATTGGGATTCCAGCCCTGGCAGTGCCCCTGGCAGTGAATTCCAGCCCTGGAGGTGCCCCTGGCACTGGATTCCAGCCCTGGAGGTGACCCTGACATTGGGATTCCAGCCCTGGAGGTGCCCCTGGCACTGGGATTCCAGCCCTGGAGGTGCCCCTGGCACTGGGATTCCAGCATTCCAGCCCTGCAGGTGCCCCTGACATTGGGATTCCAGCCCTGGAGGTGCCCCTGGCACTGGGATTCCAGCCCTGGAGGTGCCCCTGGCACTGGGATTCCAGCATTCCAGCCCTGGAGGTGACCCCAGTGCCCCTGACATTGGGATTCCAGCCCTGGAGGTGCCCCTAGCAGTGGATTCCAGCCCTGGCGGTGCCCCTGGCATTGGGATTCCAGCATTCCAGCCCTGGAGGTGACCCCAGTGCCCCTGACATTGGGATTCCAGCCCTGGAGGTGCCCCTGGCACTGGATTCCAGCATTCCAGCCCTGCAGGTGCCCCTGGCAGTGGATTCCAGCCCTGGAGGTGCCCCTGGCACTGGATTCCAGCATTCCAGCCCCGGAGGGGACTCCCTGGGGCAGGGCTGCCTCTGCCCAGGCTCCCGTGCCCGTTTCCCGCCCAGCCCTGCCTCAGGTACCTTCTTTTCATGATACTGATGTGCAGGTCCTCCTCCTGCTTCACGTGGGGCTGCTGCCCATTGCCCCTGTCGCTGTCCTGGCTGTCCTCGCTGGGGGACAGGAGGGAGCCCAGCTCCTTCTTGGGGACCCTGCTGGGGGGCAGGGGGATGCTCCTCTTCTCTGCCAGGCGGCCCCGGTTCTGCCACGGGAGAGACAAAACCGCCAAGATCTGGTGAGAAACCTCAGTATTTCCACAAGCACCGAGCAAAACCTCGCCCACCTCCGTCAGAAAGCTCTTCTTGACAAGCCAGAGCTGTCACACACGGCTCACAGAGCACACGTGGCTCACACTTTGTCACTGTGGTCACTTTTTAAAGGATTCTGCAGCACAGGCACTTCTCTGTTTGTGATTTCCCCAGTCCTGACCAAGCCCTGCACTTCCAGCCTCTCCCAGCCCTTCATCCCCAGCCTGCACCTCATCCTCAGTGAGAGGAAAGGAAGGAGGCAGCACGATCAGGCACCAACCTCTGCCTCCAGAGCACTTCCCACCAAATAATTCCAGCTCACCACTCAATGAAAGCTTTGCCAGCAGCGCAGGGAATTCCTGACCCAGGCTGGAAAGGGACAGCAGCAAAGCAGGGAGCTGCCCCTGCCCCACAGAATCTGTCAGTTCAGCCAATAAAATGGAACTGGATCTTATTTTTAATCCAAGTCCCAGTGGAACTGAGACAGGAACCCCAGAGAGGCCAAGAATTTGAAAATATCAGAGCTGTTTGCAAGGTGATTCACGTGCCTGTGATTCAACCCTCAGAAATAATTACTGCTGCATAAAAACCTGCAGGAGAAAGCAGCCCCTGCTCACAGGTAAGGCTGGGAAACACAGGGAGCAGCCAGGGGATGCTGGGGGAGCTCTGGGAGCCGGAGAATTCTAAATCTCTTCCATATGTGAAGGAAATCCTCAAGCCCAGACAGCATTTTCCCCCTCCTTTTATTGATAATAAAGATAGGGGAGAGGAGAGGGGGAGGTTCAGAGAGCCTGGGATATTTTCCTTTGCTTTTCCCAATAACAAACCTGGGGGAATGGCTTTAATTAGGGGCATTGCAGAGCCGTGGGGACACATCCCCTGCAGGACGGGCAGAGTCTGCCCTCCCTTCAGCTGAGATTAGCATCAACACCTCACAGAGGGCCAGGATAATCCTGCCCTGTCCCCTGGGCCCTCATTAGCCCACAGTGCTGCCAGCCCTGGGCTCCAGGGGCAAACCCAGCCCTGGCACTGCAGGAGCTGCATCCCAGCAGAGCCCATGGGCAGGAGGGGCTGGCCAGGCTCTCATGGCCTGGGCACACGGATGAACAGCTCCCAGGGCATCCCTGCAGCCATGCCCAGCCCTGTGCCCTGGCACTGCCAGCTTTGTCCTCCCAGGGTCACCAGGAACTGCTCCAGCACAGCAGGGACGGCACAGGCCAAGAGGGAGCAGGGGGGAACAGCCAGCAATTGTTAAATAACAACATAAATAATAGCAATAAATGATAAATATAAAGATAAAGATAACTGTAAATAATAATTACAGATAATAGATATATAATTTAGATTTAAATATCTAAATAATACTTATAACGATTAAATATAATAATAAATATCTAAATAATTATAATCTAAATAATAAATATATTATAATGTATTTATAATAATAAAGAAATAAATATCTAAATATAAAATATTATATAAATATATAATAATAAATAATTTTTATCTAAATAATAAATATAAATAAGAAATGAAATTTTTTTTCTCTGAAAAAAAACCCCTCTGATTTCAGCTTTCCAAGTAAAGCTGGCAAAAGGCAGAATAATTCCTGGCCAAGCCAGCCAGGTTCTCTGCAGGGGAGAGCTGATGGAGGAGCCAGGACAGAGCAGGAGAACCCCCCAGCTTTTGGGGACTGTCACATCCCTCATGGGAGGGCTCTGCAGGCTCTGGCAGCAACTCCAGGAGGACAAAAGGACAGAAATGGGCTCAGCCACAGAGGTGGCACAGCTGGAACCAGGGGACAGCAGAGCCCAGCTCGTGGTTGGGCCCTTTTACCCTCAAGAGAAAAGAAAATCCCCCTTGAGCACAACTTCCCTGAGAAATCCCAGCAGCCCCCTCGAGCTCCTGGTGCTCAGGCTGCTCTCCAAAGGCACCCCCAGCACATTCCCTGCCTGGTCCCTGCCCTCATCCTCCTCCTGGGTTATCTGGGGCACAGAAACTGGGTCCTGCTGGAACTGAAGAGAATGTGGAAGTTTTAACCCAAAAGGGAGCTGCCCAGGAGGGAAGGTGCAGCTCTTCCCATCAGCATGAACAAGGTGATTTTGTGAAGCCCTAAAGAGAGAGATGAACAGGAGCTGGGAACAGAAAAAATGAACAAGATCTGGGAGCAGAGGGGAGCATTTCCCACTCAGAATCTCTCAGTGAGTTATAAACCCAAAGGGTCATTTGTCAACAGAGCAAGAGCCACAATTTCTGGACAAAGCCAACTGGAATTCCCAGGCCTTGAAGGGAAGCAGGTCCAAGGTGGGAAAGCTCTCAGGCCTTTGGAGGCACCTGTTTTCCAACCCTCTTAGGAAGGGGCTGCAGAGCATCCTTTGCTCCGTGTTTGCTGTGTCTGCTCCCACAGCAAATGGCTCTGTCCCCTCAGCCCAGGAGGAAGCAGAGAGGTGGCCCCAGCTCCTCAGGCAGTGTGGGTCCCTCCTGATGGAGCCAAAGCCACCCCACACCAGCTGAGAGCGAACACTGATGATGCTGTCTCCTAAATAAAGGCAAAACTTCCGGATTTTCCCTTTTTTCTCTCTCCTTGCCTGCTGCCCCTCTCAGGTGCAGAGACACAGAGGGTGGCGATGTTTTCAGGCATTTCCCCCTCTCCCCAGCCCTGCTGTGGCACCTGTGGAGCAGCAGAACAACGGGGGAGCCGCTCCAGGGCTGTCCCTGTCCCTGTCCCTTCCTTGGTAGCACACACAGAGCACTGCAGAACCACCAGGAGAGGCCCATTCCCCTCTCCCCTGATGGGCCGTGCCCCTTTCTGCACCTCCACTCCTTTTCTCAGCCTCCTGTCCCTCCCAGCCCACGCTCCCCACACAAACCCAGCCTGCAGCCCTGCTCTGCCGTTCCCTGCCACACCTGGGGGATTTCCCAGCAAATTGTATTACTTTATTTGGTCAATTGGCCTACAAATTGATTTTCCTGTACAAATAATGAACATTTATGGTTATTTTCCCCATAGACTGCTTTATTTCACGTGTAACAAAGACTGATTTCCTGCAGGTTTCAGACCTGAGCTGCAGTTCCTGTGACCCCTGGCTGATGGAGAGCAAAGGGCTCCAAGCACAACTGGAGGGTTTGGGGGTTTTATTTTCACCCCGAGGTGGCTGCTGAAGGCAAATGTGGGTACCAGACCAAGGCATTCTACAGAATAATGGGAATAAATTGTTTTAGAAGAGATTCAGTGCCGGGATCAGGCCAAGGAAATGCAGGGGAAGGAGCTGGGGACAGAGGGCAGAGCTGGAGTGGCCAAATCCCTGCTCAGCACAGCCTCTGGGGACTGGGCACATCAAAAATCACCAGAACGCTCACCCAGCTGCCAAGGATAAATCCCTAAACTCCAAAAACCACCAGGAACACTCACCCAGCTGCAAAGAATAAATCCCTGCACCCCAAAAACCACCAGAACACTCAGCCAGCTGCCAAGGATAAACCCTGCACCCCAAAAACCACCAGAACACTCACCCAGCTGCCAAGGATAAACCCTGCACCCCAAAAATCACCAGAACACTCACCCAGCTGCACAGAATAAATCCCTGCACCCCAAAAACCACCAGGAACACTCACCCAGCTGGCTCAGCACGCTGGGAGCCCCAGCAGGTGACACCACACGATTTTACAACATTTGTGTTTATAAATAACACTGGGAAATGAATGAGCAACAAATGCAGTGGCTTCCCAAGGAGCAGGGAAGGATGAGGGGAGTGTTGGGAGTTGTGTGTTTTGAAGGTAAACACAAAGAGAATATTAAAAAAAATACCAGGGAGGTAAATAATTCATCAAAAGAGTGGAAAACAAGAAGCTGGAAGGGAAGAAAGCAAAAGGAGCAATGCCAGAGGGAAGAGTTTTCTGAGAAGGTGAAAAAACCCCAATCTCACATGGGAGTGGAACCAGAACCAAAGTCAATTGGAGTGAAAGAGAGGGGAAGTTTGGAAGGTGGAACATTTAATGTGGAAATGGCCTCTCCCCTCTGGGGTCTGACACCATGGACAGAGCCCTGCAGCAGTGACAGCACAGCAGGGCTGGAGATGCCTGAGGGAACCCCAGAATTCCAGCAGCAAATCCCACCCCAACCCTCACCTGTGACAAACTCAGCAGGGCTGGGGATGCCTGAATGAATTCCAGAATTCCAGCAGCAAATCCCACCCCAACCCTCACCTGTGCCAAACTCAGCAGGGCTGGGGACGCCTGAATGAATTCCAGAATTCCAGCAGCAAATCCCACCCAGAGCCCCCAGCTGCACACAAACCCACATTAACACACTGTGCCCACGGCCTGGAGGTTTCCTTAATTTTTTGAGCCAAAACCTGCTGCAGAATTGGGTTTTGCTGCTGGCCACTCTGCAGCTGCCTTAAACCCCAGCCCATGTGCAGAAAGCCAAGGGAAACCTCACAATGTCAGCGTGAACACCCTGGGTCTGTCCTGCCCCAGTCAGGCTCCCCAGGCTGGGGTGATGTCCCTGGAGGGAGCTGTGCCCAGGTGGACTCAGGCAGGACACACCTGGGCAGAGCAGGGGAGCTGGGAGGCCAACCCTCCCCTCCACGGCTGCACAGCAACCTCAGAGCCCCAAATTTAACATTTACCTGCTCATTTCCCAGGCCTCTTAAAACAAAACAGCCCAGCCAAACAGGAGCTGCACCAGTGGCACTCTGGCCATCCTAATTCCCCCTGAGCTGCAGCAGCCCCGGGCTCCTCCTGATCCTCTTGGGCTCTGCTAAGCAGCTCTGGGTCACCCCTGAGCACTGCGGGAGGGAGGCAGAGGGAAAGGGAAATCCCACCCACCTGGGCCTGTTTTCCATCAATCCTGCAAAGGATAAACCCCTGGATCCCCAAAAAACCCCAAAACCACACACCCCAGCTGCCAAGGATAAACACCTGGACCCCAAAAATCACCAGAACACTCACC